CCCCAACCAGCCATGCTGGCTGGGGAATTCTAGGAGTTGAAGTCCACCCCTCTTAAAGGGACCAAGGTTGAGAAACCATTTAATAAAGGCTGCTGTCTCCTTGGCCCCATCAGGCTTCAAGGACTCAAATGGGTGCCTCCTGCAGAGAGGTCACCCAGAAGGCCAGCTAGAATATATATCAAGCTTGTACAAACCAGGATCCAAATACGGGCTCCCCGAGACCAACTGTTGCTGGGTATAATTGTTCTTAACGTTTACCATTTTTCGGAGCGCCACTATGTTGTCGCATGGCAGCGAGGTCTCTTTAGGAAATGCATCTACTGACCGGTTGGCGTTTACGTCCGCAGAATATCCAGCATGGCCCTGATCAAAGCCATCAGCTTGGTTGTGGCTAGGAGCAGCTGGCTAACGAAGCTGCCCTCCAAGATTAGGAGGCTGGAACTTGGGGAAGAGAGTGCTAGTTGACTGCTTTATTCCACGCCCCCGTCCTTGACTTTTCAAAGTGCAATATTGTCTTGTCTGCTCTGGTGTGATCTTTTCTGTAAGCATACTCCCCCCTTCTCCAAAGCGAACAAACACACGTTTCACCCCATCGCTGTGCTTGTGACTCCGTGTTTTAAAGAAGAGAAACAAAACTGTACTTGTGTGGTGGATATGAAGAACTTGTTGAAGTCCCATTCCTCTTTTTTTTTTTTGGTAAATATTGCATTAATTTATGGAGTGTAAAAAAAAAAAAAAAAAAGATGGAAAATTTTACACCAGCGGGTCTTGCTGGCCTTGAAAGCAATAAAATATCTATTCACTGCATCTCTGCTCACAGGTAAAATGCAGTAAAGGTAGGATAGGAGATGGGGGGGAGGAGGAGGAGGTCTCTCAGAGGAGTAAACAGCAAGTATTTCTCTTCCAAAGAGCAAATAAAAACAATGACAATATTAAGCATCAGAACTGAAGTCCCATTCAGTTCAATGGTGCTTATTTTCCTTTGTGAGGAGGACAGCAAGAGCATTTGAAAGACCCCAGCCTGTCCCAGAAGTTCAGCATCCTTGCATTGGAATTGACCTTGGGTCAAGCTGCTAATTAGCAGAATAATCACTGAAGTTTTAACATTATGAAAGGAACATGGGGAATCTTAGCCTTGCCAAAGGACAGCATGATTCTAGCCACCCCATCCATCCTGCTTTTCCTGGAATAGTATTCTGAGCCCCCGGATACAGTTTAATTTCACTTTACCCAAAGAATCCTGGGAAATGTAGTTACAGGAGGTGTTGAAAAGTCTATTAAGGACCACGAGCAGAGGCCACTACGCCACCAGACATACAGGAACAAGGGCCCTTTGTTTTCCCTTCTTCTTCCCCTGGAGAGCAATTATGGCAATGCAAGGTATCTGTTTAAAACCCATACATTAACAGGCACCCCTATCCATACACTCTCCCACCCAACCTGTTAAGAGATGGAGCCACCCCACAAGGGTCTCAGGACAACGGTGGTGCTTAGCTTTTCAAAATAAATGCCAGTTCATGCCAGAGAGCACAAGAGGCAGAGACTCATGGCCACCCTATCATCACAGCTCCAAGGAGGTACGATAGGGCAACCAAAAGCAATCAAAAGGCGAGAAATAAATAACCAAATACATGAGAAGGACAAAGGAAATGGAAAGATAAGGTTTATTTATCATCATTCATATATAT